CTTCTTCATACGGAGTCCAGAGCACTTGATTCTTCTTCGACTGCTCCGCTTCTTTGGCTGCTCCGCAATAATTATTGGAGGACAGAACTACTCTCGATACGGGGCTGAGGAGCGTGTTTTATGTCTTCTCCCCAGACTTCTTTAATCGGTGGTTTATCTTTCGCATGACAACTACCGAACGATTTTAGCGTAAAGGACAAAGAAATTGTTACCAGTAATCACTACTTACCATTTCTAGATGTTTACTCATGTATTCACAGCAGTCTACTTCAAGTCTGGGTAGGTTGAAGAGACGCGCCGTCCTAAAAACCGTCAAAACGTTTTCTGTGTCGAGAAACGCGCTAATTACACGTGCACAGAGGCGCTTCAAGCCACTCAGTAGATAGATATCAGCAAAGCAAAGTACATTGTAAACATTTTCTTCAGTTACCTGGATAAAAACAAGAATTAAAGCAATAAGTATTGCTATCAACGTTTACTGCTGTTTGAATAACTGACGCCTTCATATAAATTTTTCTTTCAGCGACAGTTTTACAGTTTGGCCAATGTAGAACGAGGCTTACCTAAGTCTACAAACCAATGAGCGAGTTCGCAGTTCATACAAACGTCGTAAATTTCTCATATGTATTACTCTACACACCTTCTCTTGATGTTAACGCGCCAAACGGACCTCTGGGAATAAGGCGCTTGACCTCAGCTCACAGAGTTCCGCGCGGCGCGCTAACGTCACCGATTGGTTTTTACTTGCGCGACGGACATCGCCAAAAAGGAGGGACTGGTCAAAGTCTAAATCTGTTTAAACAACACTCACCAAAGCTTCATCTTGATAAATGAAAGCTACAACAGCGGCAAACACGTCTGGTGTTACATCATTGAGGTAAACTTCAGGAATAGACGCACTAAATAATTGTTTGCCAGGCGAGGTGGATTCCGAAAAGTGACCGTCTAACAACGCTCGAAAATAGTCGCTCCTTCCGCAGAAAAATACCTTCAGTTAAAAAAAAACTATAGGAGTTAATGTGAGTATTTGAGGGTCAATGAGCTTTCTAACCATAATAATGAACTGTTAAGATATGTAGGAGATTTAAAAAAGGAGCTAAGATTCACCTCGAACAATAAGGGCGTGGCTACAAGGAAGGGGGTTCCCGACGGGTTATGAACCTCCCTTCCCGATTTCTTTTTTTTTATAAAACTCTTAGGACACCCCGTTTGAAAAATCATGCACGTGCTAATGACAAATGGGAAAGGGAGTACCCCTCCCCTACCCCCAACCACCTTGGCTGGACTCTGGGTCGAAAGGTCCGGTTTCGGAACCCGGCCGGGTCACGTGAACATGTTAGAGCGGCTTTTTCCCTAAGCGAGACTTTTCCACTTTTTCCTTCGCAATTATATCACGGCAAAGAAATGAAGTTCCTGATAAATTTAGCAAGGAAGTCATGGACGTTGCTACAATTCAGGCATCTTACCTTATGACAATAGAATCTGTGATTCTCAACGATGAAACACACATCAGAGTACACAGGCGGTTCGTCGCAAACGACTGAAACTAAAACGACGTGGTAAGGTCACGTCAACTCAATGTTACCTACTGCACTCCCCTGAGGGAAGATGCGACTTTCTAAATGTTTCTACATCTTTAGGTCGTTCACCTCTGTAGCCGCATTAGCTCTTTAACCCTTCAAGCCCAAAGAGTGACTGGCCTCTATTTTCTCCCTACAGTATCTTACTTAAATCAAATATAATGGTTATGAGAATTAAGGAAATTATCACCAATTTAAGAAGCTCCTGATTTTCCAACAAATTCTCCTTGTCAGAACCATGAGTAATGAATAGAGAGGATTAGGGAGTATATGAATACCAATGTTTCTCGCTCTAGGGCTTATGCAGGAACTGCTTTAAGGGGCTCGAACAACCCCCCCGTAGACAACCACCCATGAGGCACTCGAGGCATTCCCCCTTATTTAAGTGATTTAAGTGTACAGAGAACATTTTCAAAGTTACCGTAAACAAAAATATGGATACAAACCATCGAAAACATCGGAAGATATCTCAAATGGAAACTGCTTTGGGAATTGCTGAAAAGGAAATACAAATTATCTGTAACGTCAAGCCGGGGAAAGTCCAAGTTTTCTTCGTCTTGACTCTACATTTTTGCGTCCGTCCAAGAATACGATATAAGCTTTCCCAGAATTTTATCGGGTATGATTAACA